CAAATAATAGTTAGTTCCATCAAAAAAGTCCTCCGCGAAAGCTAGTATGCCCAAATGCTTGATACAGAAGTTTCCTTGTCTTTTAAATTGGGTTCAAAATGACAAGGCTACGGAATGAACATTGATAGTCGTAAACTCAGAAACGGGTCGGCTGTTCAACGCTGTTTATAAAATAAAATAAAAACTAATTGAAATTTTGCATTAATTTGTTGAATTATTGAGTTTCAAACACTAACGAAAATAGATTTTGAAATGTTATTCAAATTCCTTCAGATTATTTCAAAAACGAGTGAAAAATTTCTGTATTGAAATTTTGTACACTTCTAGGATTAGAACCAATGTTTACTTTATGAAAAAAAAACATACACTACCGGTCAAAAGTTTGCGAAAATTTTGAAATCTACAAAGAAAAGGTCTAAATTCAAATGTTCACAGAACTGCGAAAAATCATTCAAATTGCATGAAAATTTGATATGTTCTAAAGTGAACCCTCTACAGTTAGTTACATATGATCAAATTGCAATACTTCGTTTTTTGCGAACTGAATCCAGCTTTTCATCATGGGTTGTTTCTATGGTGAAAAAAGTTGATAAGTTTGAACACTTGCCAAACTTGCAAAAAAAAATTTTTATACTTTCTGTTGATAGAAAATAGTTATTTGAACCGTTCCATGTAAGCCCTCAAAATTTCAGATCGATTTGATTCTTTTTTGACGAAGTTATAGAATTTTGAAAAACATGTGTACTTTTCTCGATTTTTGAGCATTCCACATATGCGGTCTTTTGGTCTATACATCTTCTACCAAAGAACTTTTTAATTTTAATGTTTTCTATATTTTCAAATAATTAATATTTATTATAAAACAAATACTCTTATTCATTATTGTAACTATTATTGTTTATATTTATTGTTTATATTTATTGCTTATATGTATTAGTTTTGTTGTGATATTTTTACTTTACATTAAATTAAAATAAAAAGTTATAACAATAATTACATAAATAATTCTAAAAAAATAATAACAATAGTATAAAAAATTTGCATTTTTACTAAACTATTTTATTTACAACAGGTCAAATATTTAACATATTCTTATTCGTATTTTGTAATTAAATAAATTAACATTTAAATCTTAGATTCCTCGAACCATCCACCTTTTGCTTTTATTATAGCCTTACATATGCGTGGCATTCGTTCTAACAAACCATTAATCACTTCAAGTGATATAGAGTTCCATTCCTGTTGTAAAATGTCCCATAACTGATTTCTATTCGAAATATCAGAGCATCGTTTGCAAGAACAAACAAATTTTCGATGAAATGTGACATCTATGAGACATTGTTTTAATCATATTCATAATAAATTCTTTTTAATAACAATAATTACAATAATGAATAAGAATATTTGTTTTATAATCAATATTAATTATTTGAAAATATAGAAAACGTTAAAATTAAAAAGTTCTTTGGTAGAAGATGTATAGACCAAAAGACCGCATATGTGGAATGCTCAAAAATCGAGAATAGTACACATGTTTTTCAAAATTCTATAACTTCGTCAAGAAAAATCAAATCGATCTGAAATTTTGAGGGCTCGCATAGAACGGTTCAAATAACTATTTTCTATCAGCAGAAAGTACAAAAAATTTTTTTTGCAAGTTTGGCAAGTGTTCAAACTTAACAACTTTTTTCACCATAGAAACAACCCATGATGAAAAGCTGGATTCAGTTCGCAAAAAACGAAGTATTGCAATTTGATCATATGTAACTAACTGTAGAGGGTTCACTTTAGAACATATCAAATTTTCATGCAATTTGAATGATTTTTCGCAGTTCTGTGAACATTTGAATTTAGACCTTTTCTTTGTAGATTTCAAAATTTTCGCAAACTTTTGACCGGTAGTGTAATACAATCCGTTTTCTTTGATCCAAATGCATAATAGCGTTGTTGAAAACGACATAGTCTTATACTTTCTTTACATATATTTAAATTTAAAAGTACATAGTTGAAATCTTACTGCGATACAATAATGTTGTTGTTGTGTTGTTTTTAATGCCACTTAACAAACAACAGCCTGCTTGGTGAAACAAGCGAATTAGAGGTCGAGGAGAGCTTTTTGTTTTTCAGTGGCGCCATCTATGGCCAAGAATACTACTTCAGCCACACACATGTCACAGCCCATTTATAGGACGGACCCATTCACTCATCCACAAATCGTAATTTTGATGTGAACCAGAGTACGATCAATCTCCGATTCAGTAGTCCCAGAGATACGATTTGCAATGGGAGCATGGAGGACTTTGTGACCAAATAGATATAACGTGCACCAGTCACCATTTACTACACTTTTGGCCGAATCACTTTGGGGATCGAACACACGACCCCTTGGAAATGGGCCCAACGCCCTACCAACCAAGCTATCCCGGGCCGGATACAATGATAAGTCACAAAAAATAAAAATTGGGGAAAAAATAAAGTGGTTTTAAGTTTGAGATTAAATGTATCGTTTTAGCAATAACATACAATTTAAAAAGTTATATCAACAAATATAGATTTTTAAAAAAATCTATTTAAATATTCTGTGCCTTTATTCTGAAAGAGACTGATAAGAAACAAGAACATTTCACATTATTATTTTTATATTCGCAGTGCGCAAAAAACGGACTACTTTGAATAACTATTGTTCTGATAATTGGATCTTCATCTTTAAGGACTCAGTGGTCCTAAGAGTTCGATAGGGTGACTTAAAAATATGCTAAATATTTATGAGGATATTTTAAGTTCCGATATCAGACACAAAAACGTACTATCTCTGAATAAACATACTCTTTTTCGACAGAAGGTAGCCGCAACCTGGTAAATAGGGTCCCAAGAGTTTGATCAGAAAGTTTGGAACCTTTATTGCTAATTTTAATGTAGTGTACCATATCTCGAGAACTTTTTTAATGAATTGAAAATTATTTGCTCACAATTATAAGATTCGTTCATCCAAAAATAATTTCTTACAAAAAATAACAATGTGTTATCTTTTCCCTCATTATATTTGATCTGAGCAACTCTGAATCTTACTACGTGAGCATGGTAGCACGTCAAGTTCCACTTACAGCCCATCAAAAAAGAAAAAATACAATTTTTCGATATGGTTTTTAACACATTATATTTAAATTGGTCTTCGCAATCATAATAATAATAAAAAAATAATAATCTCATCAATAATACAGCTATACAGGCAATCTGATTTCACAGAGAGAAAAAACAGCAATTCTCAATAAAAAAGTAAATAAATAAACATTTTAACAACTAAATTACTCTTAAAGTACCGTTTAGTAAAATAAAAAACTATTTTCCCCTGAGCATAACTTCAAACAGTCACTTTATAAAATTGATTCAAAATGTTTACTTCTAAAATATATTGATTTATAGAGATTTTTTTGCTAAAGACTGCTTCAAAATATTATTATTTTACCTAAAATTTTATTTATATTCTTTTTTAAAGGAGGAAATATTCCTCACAATAAAAATGTAAATCATATAAATTTGATTAAGTCTTTCATATTTTATTTATTTATATACGCATACATACTTTTGAATATACATATACATATTCTATATACATATACATATTTTGTATATACATATACTAAATGCATATTTTTCTATTTATGACAAATGAACTATTTCAATCGAACTATTTGCTCCTAAATTTTATTAGTGATATGATAGTTATTCATAGGCAAATTATACTAATTACTAAACCAATATGCTAAGCATTGAAATTAATTTACTTACTTTGAATGAATATATTTAGAGTTGAACATTTACTTCTTGTATCATAAAATCGACGGTAACATTCACTAATCGACATTAAATCCAATAGTTAGTAATTTGTTTCTTTGCTGGAACACTTCGTCACTACGTTTCATAACTATAAATATTTATTTATTTACTTATTGGAATTACATACACTTGCATGCTTGTGTGCTCAATTTAGGCTTATAAACCTTAGTCGAATAGAAGGACAGATACAGAGAAGGACAGCACGAAGATACATTTAGGGTAACAGCGGGATTCGAACCCATTACCTCCACGTTTCTCACAGCGTTTGGCCGGCGACACCACTCGGCCAAGGAGGCCCCTCATACCTACAGATGCATTATAAGTTTAAAGTTTAATTTTATTTGCTTACTTATTGATACAGACACATATGTAGGCTCTTCATAAAGTACGGTTTATGAGCCCCGGTCTAATTGAAAAACAGAAAGCACATGTAAGAGAGTGATCACAAAATTTCCCCCAGGATTGCGGTAGTATTTAAACCCACCACCTCTACTATCCACAATTCAAAGTGTTTGGTGGAAACGACAATAATGAAGTTTAAATCCGAATTGAGCTTATTGCAATGAATTTCCTTGTAATCGCTGAAACACAACATTGACTTCAAAGCACAAACCCTCATACTTTATTATGTGTTGTAAGACTTTAATCTCATCACTACCCTCAAATCTATTTAATTTTCTCTCCCANATTCCTATACAACTGAAAAGAGGAGGAGAGGGAAGGGAGAAGGGCTAAAGGCATGAAACCGGTCTCTCTCCAGATGGCGTATTCGAGTGTTGCGATCGCCAATGAAAAATTCGTCAATGTTCATCATCATGTTCTCATTCGTATGCGAATTTTTGCAAGCGCTGAGAATGGACTCTAAATTCTCTTAACACAAATGGCTATGCCACAAAGAAAGAATTGAAGGAAAGAAATTCATTTCTTTTAATAATTTAAACTGAGATGAAGTTTTTTATTAAGGGCCATTCTCACTGCATGCAATTCACGAACTTTCGAGGGCCGTCGAGGGGGGAAAAGAACCTGATTGGTGAAATATATTCCACTGCAAAAAACTCACCTATCAGGTTCTCCTTTTCTCTGGATTAAAATCGGAGTTGTCCGAATTGCATGTAGTGTAAACTAAGGCTTGTAAACAATCTCCAGGTTTTTTCAAAAACAGGTTATCTGACGTATTTAAGTAATGCTCATTTTAGCCTAATGTCACGCTACTACTCGGCCATAATCTTCAACTTGCTTAAATTATTAAAACAAACTCTGGCATCACTTTTTCATTATTTTGTAAACAAATCCCACCGTGAATCCCATGAATCTGAGCTAACGATAAATGATGATCATCAAAAGATTAACTGGAAATTTCATATCAAAATCTTTTAGCTTCTTACGAACTTATCCTAATCAGTTACTCAGAAATTTTTGTTCCAGAAGTCAAAATTCTCCTGAAATAAGTGCTGGCGTGCTTATAATTGGAGATGAAATTTTGAAAGGTGAAGCTGAGGATGAAAACTCGTCATTTTTTATAAAAAATTTAAATCAATCCAGGATTAAAATAAATAAAATTTCCTTAGTGCCTGATGATGTAGATGTCATTGCGGAAGAAGTGTTATCCTTGTCTCGCACTTGTACGGTTGTATTAACCAGTGGAGGCATTGGACCAACTCACGATGATGTTACTTTTGAAGCTGTTGCCAAAGCCTTCGGTGAAAAACTCGTACAAAACGAAGAATTAAAAGCTATCTTTAAAGAATATTTTGCATCTAAAGCAAATCAAAATACTGCTGTGTTAAAATTTTCATCAATACCTGAATCTGCGATACTCAATTTTAAAACCAACAACGATGGTCAAAAATATAGATTTCCTTTAATTTCTGCCAGAAATGTATTCATGTTCCCAGGTGTGCCAATGTTACTTCAAAGAGGATTTAAAGTATTCAAGTCTAATTTTTCATTGCAAAATCAACCGAATTTCGTTCAGTATCTGCATTTAAATGTTGATGAAGTTTCAATTACCCCAATTCTAAATCATGCTGTTGAGACATTTAAAGGTCTCGTTAAATTTGGATCATATCCTTCATTTATCAACAATTATTATAGAGTTAAGCTAACTATGGAGGGTGCTGATGCAAATGCAGTTAATGGGGCTAAGGATTTCATTACGAAATCTATGCCCAAAGAAAGAATAGTGGAACTTAAAAATGTTTTTAAATCCTGCATTAGTGATGTATCTAGCATTTGCAAAGATAATGCTATTTATTCGTCATCTTTTAACATGGTACACAAATTAATGGTGCACCATTTATCAGAGATATGTATTTGCTTTAATGGAAGTAAAGATAGTATTGCTTTGTTGCATCTTTTATATACTAGTGTGCAAAAGTTAGAACAGTCTAATTGTGTTAGATTACATGCTTTGTATGTAAAAAATGGTGAAACATTTAAAGAAGTTGAAGAATTTATTTCCAGTTCTGCTAAACTTTATAACTTAAATTTGACAATATTAAATGGAGATTTCAAGCCTATTGTTTTGAAATTTCTGGAAACGAATCCACAAATACGAGTTTTATTGATGGGTACTAGACGATCTGATCCTGGTGCGGAACATTTAAAATATTTTAATCCAGAGTATGAGCAGAAGCCTGTGGTGCAATTTTTACCACTTTTAGACTGGTGCTATTCTGATGTTTGGAATTTTATTCGAAAATTGCAACTTCCTTATTGTGTATTGTATGATAGAGGTTATACATCCTTGGGACTAAAAGGACAAACTTTTCAAAATCCAGCACTTTTGGTTTCCAGTGAAACAAAAATTCCTATTTACAAGCCTGCTTATATGCTAACACAAAACTAAGAAATCGATGATTATATTAGCATTTACTATTTCTATAGAACTACTAGTTTTATATACAATTTTTGAGATTTCCATATGAGATCCTATGTGAAAATAGTCACCAAGTTTTGCATGCCGTTAACTTAAGTAACACAAAATTAGACTAACCCAAAAGATAAATAATTACAGTTATTATGTATATACATTACTTATACTATATTTATGTATTTTTTATTTCATTGCTATTTTGACACCTTGGAGTTGCTCTTTGTATGATTAGGATTCAGTACAAAAAAGTTTTTATCTAAGTTTTTCTTTTTATAATAATTTTAAAATTCTGAAAATTTAATTGCAAATGAATTAAAACAAAAATTATTAACCCTAAAAATCTATACATGATTTATATGCAAAAATGATTTGAAACTTGTTTAATTTTTACTTTTTTTAACCGTAGCTACCTATAGCATAACACTTTTAAGCTGAGATTATTCCTTTTAGAATTTTAGCTTTAAGTTACAACTTCCTTATTGTGTATTGTATATGATAAAGGTTATTGGAACTAAAGGATAAGCGTTCCAAAATCCATCCCTTAACAGTTTCAAGTAAATCATTTCCCTCTCCACTTTTATGGTAACACAAAATTAATGAAAAAGAAAATTTTAAAAACTTTTATTCTTGTGAATTTAATAGTCTTCTACTTCAGGGTGCGTAGCCAAATTTTTTAGCAAAAAATAAGCACCTTTTAAGTACTTTTTGAGCACTCAAAAAATATTTTTAAGCACTTTAAAAAAAATATTACAATTAGGATATGCACACTAATAATTTTTTTCCTTCATATTGTTGAAAATTCTTCATATCTATAAACAAAATGCAAAATAGTTTTCTAAGTTACATGATCAAGAGAAAATAACTAGATTCTGATAAAGAATTCTTTTCGTGATTATATTAGCCACCATATATACAATTTCACAATTTTTAATGCATACAATATTGAGTGAATCATTCAATTCTTTAAATTTATAATTACTTTACACAATTATGTAATAAAATTATTCAAAATTATAAGTAATTAATTTATCTATTATTTAAAAAGATAATCTCTCTTGCTAAATGCAGCAGAGTTGCTCATGATAATGCATGAATCCTTCTGACCGAATCCAGCTCAGTATTCGAACCCAAGTATTTCATAAAATGATTGGCGTTTTCATGCGCTACAGACCGATGGTGTGTCAAAATAAATTGTAGTTGAATGAATTATAAAAACGTTAAATAGAACTATGAGAAAAACACGCTTTTTGTGAGAAAAACACGCTTTTTGTGTAATTCGAAGCAAAAATTTATATGGTAAAGAAAAAAACCTCATTTTGGAAAAGGGAAGATTAAGCACTTTTTAAAAACACCCAATGAAAAAGCACTTTTTAAAAACGCTATGCACCCTGTAAATGGTTTTTAATTAAACTCAACATTTCTTTATAAGTTTTAAAATTGAGACATATCTTCTGACCACAGTGCTGTGCATGTCAAAATGTAAATAAAGAGATAAAATCATGTAGATAGAGATAAAAATTATTTATATTTTTGTATAAGACAAGTAGGATATTTTTCATACCCCTAAACAATTAAAACAAAAATTATCAATTGGTAAATCACAGAATAATAGAGGAATCTGCATTAATAAAAGTGAATTAAATTGTGTTTATTTTATTTAATATTTTTTGCACTATCAAATGCAATTTATTAAATAAAACTGCTAAGTTAATCAAAAAATAATTTTCTGAGGTTCTTAAAAATAAGACTGCATTATTTCACAAAATTAAAATATGTTTCTCGTTAAGTTTCATTTCAAATTTACTGAAATAAGATTTTTATAACTATGAGTAAAATAAGTTATTGTTGTTTATTATTCACTCAATAAAATTTTATATATTTTGTCTTGATTGTCCTACAAGTGAAATTTTTAGATTCCTGAAGAACATTTTCCACATGTTAATTTCCCTCAGAATGATGTCTGTCATAAATCTAAATCATGTATCAATTCATTGAAAAATCAATGTTTTATATCACTAAACTTATTTCAAATAATATTTTCATCTATATTTTCCGAAAAAAATGTGTTGATGCACATTTTATTATTATTACTTCACCGATTTTTTTTTTACATATTTGTGGAAGTAAAACAAAAAAAATTCAGTGCATGTTAATTTTACTAACTCTTTTATAAGTAAGATTTACTTACCTTGTGTAACTTGTAGGAAAAGATATTTACGTGTACTTGAAGAAATTTAGGCACTATAATGATAATCCACACTTTTTTAAACGTAAAATTATTACATCATAATGTTCTTCAGTAATGCTTCTAGATTACTACATCACAAGTTTCCACTAGATGGCAACACAAAAATATCTCATTACCTATATGTAGTTTAAAAAAAAAATACTCTTATAGGCTTAAGTCCCACAGTTCTAGCATCTACAGTTGGCTAAATATGAGAGAGAATTTAATTTTTTAACTTTATACTAATATATTCAAAAAAAGCAGCAACTGAGAGTGTTACTCATAAAATTTATTGCAGTTTGAATAAGCTGTTTATTTTTTGAAGAGTAAAATTTGAATAAAAGTATTTTTTAGTCACAATTTATCAAACTAAATTACACTTATCAATTTCTAAGTTTCAATCAATTTTGATAAAAAGATGCAAGAAACATATTGATAGTTACTGAGTGCCCACTTCACTTCATAACTTTAATATTTAAATTGCACTATTGTTTGAGTTGTTGTTGTAATTAATTTACGTCTCACTAGAGCTGCACGATGGGCTAGGAAACAGCCCTGAGGATGATCCGAAGACATACCATCACAATTTTAATCCTCTGCAGAAGGGATGGCACCCCCGCTTCAGTAGCCCGACGACCTGCACGCGAAGTCTAGCACTTTACGGTAGAACAGTTTAACGAGGACTAATACCGCACACCCTCGGTCCCTACGTAGACTGACCGTAGCCAGTGATGCTTGACTTCGGTGATCTGCTGGGAACTGTGTCTTAACAATCAGTCCACTGCGGGACTGGGATTTTTCAGTGTTTTGGTTTTATCCTGAACCTTAGAAGAAAAAAAAATTTATTAATTGTATATTATGTAATTATTTGGCTAATTTACCCTTTTGACCTTCCTATAACTTGCGTTTACTTTTCCTACTCATAGTATTTATGGATTTTTAAGATCTTTTATAGATATACCGTATATCCCAGTGTGTAAGTAGACTTTTCAAACCCCCAAAACTTAATGAAAAATTGGGAAGTCTACTTTTAACTCTGGCAATAAAGTCAGACATTATTGGATCGGGAAATATCAATGCATTATAAATAATGAGATAGATAATTATTCTGTATGAAAACTTTAATATTTTATGGAAAATTCATTTTCTCTCAAATTTTCTATATATATAAAGTTTTTTATTTTTTAGAAAAATTACTTTCAGAAAAAAATTTATATATTCGAGAAGTTTTTTTAAACACACCGTAAAGCTACATATTTCTCGAACATTATGTGTCTGCATATGAATCCCTATCTTCAATTTATTCTGTTTCATCCTCGTCTGCTGGGTCTCACAAAAGTTGTCTTTGCCCTATACAAAGAATTTGAAATTCCACACTTTTCTAGACTACAAAATCGTTTAAATCCACAATTTGCTACAAATTTAGTATCATTTGACATGTCTATATAAATATAATAGATATGTCAATAACAGTAGAGTTATACACCCAACACCAGAGATTTGCTATCTCTTAATCAAAAATAGGAGGTAAGACTATGTGGTATATTAAAATGTGTTAATGGGAAGAAACTACTTATACAGTAACATTTTTAATGGGGAGAGGTTAAGCATTTATTTTTTAAAAAATTAAGATTTGCATAAGTTATTGTTTACATTGTAAGAAATCCAACTTTTACATAAATTCATTAAATTTAAACAAACAAGAACCAGTTACAATCTTTCCTATTGAAAATGTCATAATTGACAGCATAAATTTCAATCAGTGTTACTTTGTAATTAATTATTCATCTCCTAAACTATGAATTAAAAACATGTTTAATTTTATATTTCCTTTATTAATGTAAAAGAAAAAGTGTAGCAGAAGAAAAATTCTTAAATTTCGTTGAAACATAAAAAAAGTTTTATCTTTTAACTTATACGAACTGGTATGTCAGATTTCTACTTGATATATGTTTATTTAGGGTTAATGTTATATTAGACAAAATAAAACCAAGAAAATGATAATCTACATTCATTTTATTGGCAGCCAATTCAATAATAGAAATAAAACATTTCAGCAAATTTCACACAAGTCAGCATTATCGCTGAATAAAAAAGATAACACAATGCACAACCATTTCAAATTGTGATATAAAGGCATCATCAAACACAGGAATTTCAAATGAGCGATTCCTTCAGAGTGATTAGTGAACAGAAAAATGTTCAATGATTTTTTGTAACAATAAACATTTTAAAATGTGCATAAAAAGCTAACGACTTTTCTTTACAACTGCTTTTGCTGTAATCCAGCTAGCCAGAACCAATACATTGATCTAAGAGGGAAGAAAAATCCCTCTGCAATTCCATCACCCAGGTATTAAGTGTCGATTTCCCCTTGGGCAGGGAAATCCAAATGCAAGTATTACAAATTTATTATGATTAAAAGAAGGGGAAAAAACGATAAAAGCAGCTATAATATATTTATAAAGAAACAATCCTTTAAAATGTCACAGTAAATCTCATGATATCAAAATGTGTTAATAGCTTTAAAAGATGTTACAAAACATAGAGGAAAGAGAAAATATCACAAGAAACTAAGCATGATTTTTTATAATATATATATATATTTTAAGTTGTAATGATTTGAAATTAAAAGACTGATGAAAGTTTCAATACGTAAAGGCAAACATTCCGTTGGCAATTTAAAAGATCCAGTAAGCTCCGCTAAATGAGTCTCTGGTGGCAGCTTACGAGATTTGAGGCAATATAGGAAGAGGAATCATCTGTAAGGGGAGAGAATCCGGGAATAAGAATCAACCGATCGTTGATGAAAACAAAATATGTTGATAATCAAATGCTAATTATAGGCACTGTGCTCTTTTTCACAATCACATAGTAAAGTATTTTAACTGATATCAAAACATGATAAATATAGTTTGATACACCATATATTCAAATTATTTTATAGGATAAAAATTAACCAGGGTTGGCTTGTTGACACCGAAAGACTAAAAATTAAGGTAAAGTCAAAAATGAGAATATCAATATAAAAAACTTATGCAGTTTTATTTGATAAAATCTCAAATACATAAAACTGACCACATTAATTTTTATTAAAGATACAAACTGATGCAGATGTTTATATGGTTATAAAAATCTTTTCAGTTTAAAGATAAGCATTTCACAGAAGGTTTTTGATTATCCAATGTAAAAAAAAAGTGACATCAAAACCTACCAACCCTAGAATTGACTATATTCTACGATAATCATAGCTGCATTCGATATAATATATGTTTTAATTTAATTTATAAAAACTTAAATCTGCTCTTCAAATTGTAACATCTGTTCCAAACAATATAAATAATCAAATCTTACAAAGACTAAAATAGATAGATTAAATTTGCAGAAGATTTGATGTTCATTAACTCAAAATTTATTTAAATAATTCCATAATTTAAAATCTTTTTTGATTAAAAAAAATTGAAAGACACTTGTAACATTGTTTTTAAAAAGATATAAAAAAACATTTGGGCTGGAAGTTAAAATTATTCATAAAAAGCAAAGTAAAAACGTTTCTTAAATATACACACGACATAAGTAGTTCAACAAGTACAAAATTTATAGTCCAAAAATTTTTGGAACGACTATTAAATTTTAGTTTTCTACGGGAAATAACATTTTGAAAAGAGCAAACCGTTTAAAGGAATACAGATAAAATAATGTTTATTAACAAATATTTAAGTGCATTAGACATAATCAACAATTACAAATAATTTTTATTTAAGGTGTAACACTTACATGCCTTAATATTTATTGTGCAAAGAAATAACAAAAATATAAATAAATTTGAATAGAAATGTGGAGGAAAAAATCATACAAGGAAGATAAAACTACATAAAAAAAATCTAAACAAGCACTACAAAGCAAAAGCGAACTAAACATACCCAATATATACATGCAGGCATCTCATTCACATGCTGAAGCAAAAGAGATATAAAAAAAATTGCTTCATCCATTTAATGTAATATTGCTATTTACAGAAGAGCTGATTATTCATACACATTAGACAATACATTAATAGGTCCTAGTTATTTTTAAAGGCAAAGTTTTGTGCATTTTCAATTTCTGCAGAAGAGAAATCTGAGCAGTGTCACTTAAAATTAAAAGATAAGCATTACAGGGCATAAACAAGCATCGGAGTATAAATTTTACATTTAGATTCAATAAAATCACACTTTATGTTTTTACTTTCTAAAATAGCACCAAGGCATTTATAAGTTATCTAAAAATAAATACGCACAGATAAAGATAATTTTTTTAAAAAAAATGTATTTTAAAATCTATTTCCTTTTTTAACTTCATTCTAATAAAACACCTATAACATAAATTAGCGATTGTAATAATTCTAAGTATGTAAAGTGTGATTTTAAAGAAACTTAGTGTAGGTAAACAGAAGTATGAAGCTCTGATGATTGTGAAACGTCCTATTCCAGAGGACACAACATGCCATGCAAAATTGAATTCTCACATAGATTGAATGTCTTTAAGAGTGCTTTCCACTTCTTCTTGAAGTTGATGATTCTTCTCTCGCTCAGCAAGGATTTCATCTATTAAATGATAAAATAGCATCCATAAATCAATCAAAATTCAATTTTATTCATAAAAAAGGAAAAGCTTTCTACAAACACAAAATTTAACATTGAGAAACTTTCTGTAAGCAATTTTAACCCTTCTGCCTCCACTTAATTTTAACAAAGTCCATTTAAAGTGTTTTAATTTTTATAAAACTCTATATTGATTATTATAGTGGCCAGCACATACTTCTTTAAATTTGTCAGTTTTGTGAAGATCTAAAACTAGTTATTGACCAACCAAATTTTCTGTTGTTGTATCCAAACTTTCTAGAATTGAGAGCAGGGTTGAATAAGGAAATTTTCTTTTTTTCTTTTTTAAATAATTGGTCAAATTTTAAAAAAATTCCACAATGGTGACAAATTCCTCACATACAGTGCTCATACGTTCTTGTTTACTATGCAAACTTGCCTATATTTAAAATCTTAATGCATTATAAATTTACATAACTTCTGTAATAAGATGTATTATACCTACATGGCTCGAATTTTTTTTTTTTTATTAATGATAAAATAAGTAAAATTTACATAAAAAAAGTATTAATTGTATAAATCTCAACTAAATGTTAATTACCTTCCAATCTATCAACTTCTTTTTGTAGCTTCTGTACAGACCTTTCAGCAAATTCTGCTCTTGCTTCCGCCTACAAAACAAAATTCAGTCAACAAATCTCATTTATATTAATCAAATTAAGGATTACAAATAGTTTGAAAACCAGGCGCGGCTCTTTACTAATAGTTCAAAAGAAATAGAAAAAGCTTTATAATCACTAAACAAAACATGACACTTAAAAAGTATAATACTTCACATAAAAATATATATGTCAACAATATTAGGCATAATTATTAAGAATCTTTTCAAATATATAGCAGGTACGTGTTTAAATATGATAACAATTTTTTAAATAAGTATAATTATTTAAAATGAGTAAAAATAAATATAACATGACATAACCTTATACCAATGAGTATAACACTGCTGGTCTAAAAATTTTCTGAAGGAAAAAGTAGGATTCTACTTTTTTTAATTCTATTTTTCAGACTAAAACTAAACTTCTAAGAACTTATAATATATCATGAAACGTGGCCTGAAATTTCAATACTAAAGAAAAGCTACAAGCCAAACTAATTTTCAGAGCTTTTTTTTTTTTTACGAAAAAGATGAACAATTTTTACAGTATTAAAAGATGTAGCATAAATTTCTTTTTTGGCGACCAGAATCATAAAAGACTGAAAAATGAAAACATCCAATTCCAAAATGATATTTTAAAAAAAAAAACATAATAAGTGCCACGGACATGGCGAACTACAAGGTTTGATGCAGTTTTGTCTAGATCTAAATGTGTTATTGCAAATTCTCAAATCTGGGGAAATGGGTCCTATAATTTTAAAAAAAAATTTGTCCTATAATTTAAACATTTTATAGGACAAAGCTTACTCAGTAACCCTAAATATTTGGTGACCAATGTATAGCTGGCAAATAGAAATTTTGCACCATTATAACAGCTATATTTCATTATTTAATACTTTACTTTTAACAAAGTGAGATGCTTTTGAAGCAAGTTGAACTCAAAAGAACAATACTATGTAAAAAATTTAATATTTAAGACTTTTTTCACAATTATGTCAAAAAATTTTAAAATAAACCCAGACTCATTTTTAAAACTTGATAAAGTATAGAAATGTTGCATAAGCATGCAAGTCAGTTACGAGAGTTGCTATTACTAATGTTACTTTGTTTTTAATTCATTACCAATTTTTACTGGTATGTAATTGCATCTTCTATTTAGCACTAAAATGAAATCAGATATCAGGGGATGAAATTTCACCACTCGAAAAAAAAAGGGAATTATTTTTAAAAAGAAAATAAGGACATTCCAATGAATACCTACGGACCAGAAATACATAGTTTTACAGACTTTTTGAAATGTGAGGATGAAATAAGCTTTTTCTAAGACATAACTAATAATATATAACAGACTAACTTTGTTAAATGCAAATTAACATTTTGCATTTAATAAAGTTCATCAATGGCAATTAAACAAAAATATTTTTATGGGAATGGGAAGAAATGCAGTTACCCATAATTTTGTAAAAATACACAAAAAAAAAAAAATTTAAAAAGTAACATTTCGATAATATTTATCATTGGTCATTTTTACAACATACCTCTTGAAGCCTTTGAGAGAGTTGGCGAATAGTTATGTCATAGGCTTCTTCTTTTTGCATAGCCTAAAATATGAATATGGTGAATTAAAAGAAAGCTAAACAGGTATTTTGAACTCAATGAAACAAAATAATAAGTCATACCTTTTCTTCACTAACTTCCAAAGATTTCATATTGTTTCCAACTACACGCAATTCCTCCTCTAATTCTACAATTTTACTGGAAAGAAGAAAAAACATTTCACTCCGTGTACACAAAATATAGCTTTAAATTTATGATACAAAAAATTCATTAATTTCAATAAAATTTCACATTGTTCTGACCTCACAATTTTTAGCACCAAACAAGTATCATTCACTACATGTTTTGACAAAGATATTAACTTCTTACTTGTTTCCTAAATGTTATTTATTAACAAATAATTTAAAACTATTTTTAGTTATGAAAATCTTTCAATTGTTTAATTAGTATTCAATGCATTAATTACTTTTATTTTTAATTTGTTCTTAAAATTCGATGTCTCAGAAACTATTTGACAGATTTGGTTCGAATTTTGTATTTTGCCATATAAAATTACATTCTTTAAAATAAAGCAAACAAATTTGTACCTCACAAGTAAAAAAAAATTTTTAAATTCTTCTATAATCTTTTTTTTTTTTAAAATAAGTATTTAATAAAAGTTATCTTTTGCATGGAATTATCTTTGGATAAACGAATTTTAAAATTGTATGTAAAAAATTTTGCATTTGCTTAAAAAGTTCGAGAAGTGAAATATGTAAAGAGTAAAATTTTCATTAGGGGATCCAAACTTTGTGGCACCGTCTAACCTAACTATTGGCACCATATTTTCAGATTCCGGCTACCCCCTTTTTTTAGGAGTTAGAAAACCGGATCAGTCAGCAAAAAGCATGTTTATTCAGAGATATTAAGTTTTTGTGTTTAATTTCATAACTTAAAATATTGTCTGCACTTATTAACATATTTGAGGCCACCCCTTGAACCATTGAGTCCTAGAACATGAAAACCGAATCATTAGATCAATAGATCAAAAGTTACTCAGGGTGGTCCTTTTTTTGTGCACTGTACATTAGCTATGTCACTTAGTTAAAGTACAGCTGTCCAATGTCAATGATAAAATAAAATAATTAGTTATTCACTACTTCCAATGAAAGCATGATTATTATTTTTTTTTTTATGTAGAATACAACTGTATATGCATTTTTCCACGAAAAACTAAATAAACAGAAAAAATCAAAACTTAAAGCTATTTGCACCAACTGCATTGATAAAAATTTACCTTTCTCCTATTGATGCCCTCTCTTCAGCTCTTTCCAAATCAGCTTCAAGCATAGCAATTCGACGAGCCATCTACAAATAAATTATGTTATAAAAAATCCATTTAAAAAAATTATAAAAAAGAATTAATTAAAAAACCAAATAATCGATGTTCAAATTGGATATAAGAGATTCTAAAAAAAATTTAAAATATTCAGGAATCATAATTATACAAATTGCTTATTTTTAACCAAAAGTTCAAAGATTAAACAGGTTTAAACAGATCTGTCAAGCACAATTTAATAAGCACCAAAAACAATAACCTTTTGCTTATAGCCAGTACAAAAAATTACACATAAAAAATTTTACATTTGTTTCAATTTTCATAATTTCACTACACGAACAATATTTTCTATTACTATATTTCATTTTAAATTGATTATTAAGAACATTTACAAAATTTTATGGATATTTCAGCTACTGCAATAAATGCTCTATATAATTATATTTCTTAAAATTCATTACAATACTTAAATTAAAATACAATGAATTGTGTCAAAATCAATTTGTATCAAACAAATATTTAAAATTAAATATGAATTAAAAATTAGACATTTATTTTTACATACAAAGTGTTACATAATGATTACTCTTGGATTTATAAGTGTTTCAAAAATTCTTTTTAATCATCATTTATGAAGAATTTAACCTTCTCCCTTTTGCATACAGCACTTAGCATGCTAAAGGCTATACACTTTTTCAAAATTTATGAAAGTTTCCTACTGTTGATCCCATAAGTATTCAAATTGTTTTTTTCCTGTACGTTTGAGGAAGACTGAAAAATCCAAGTTAGCTAATTGATTTATATACATATTAATAACTTTAAAAATGTAACATTAGACTAAACAGGATGTCAATGATTCAAATAAAAAAAAAAATTTCTTATTTGTTTAGAAAAAGATAAACATTGATTTAAATCACAAACAAGAAGAATAATTTGCTTACAGCTCCTACAACAAGTCGACAAGAATAAAAAGCTTTAACCAAGATAAGTGCCTTAAGCAAAGGGTTAATTAACTTTATTATGCTTCAGAAATTATGTGTAACCACTGCAAAAATTCTTAAAGTAATAAAGTAATGTTAAGATTTATATAAAGCATTATCAAATATACAAGAAACTAAAAAACTCAAGATATTTTTTTTTTAAGAATGCAAAGAGAAATGATAAAAATATACAGATGGTAGGTAACATGTGCCTTAATCTTGTACTTACTGTTAATATAGATTTCTAAAAGGAATTTTCTTTTTGTTGAATACGAATACATAAACAAAATTGACAGATTTCAGAATTTAATAAATTAATGCTACGAATTTAGTAGTTATTTTTTGTATTACATTACCAATGTATAATTTTTTGCCAGTCACATTTTTAAATAAATCAATACAAAAAAAATCCTTATCTAGTTTATAATTAAAGTTACAAGCAGACTATAATTATATGAATTTAAGATGACATTTTTATGTTTGGATAAATAATTTAATTACGTTTTGCCATTTGACATTAATTACATAAACTTTAACAGCATACTAACTTTTATAAATTTAATAATTTAGTTCAATGAAGAAAAAAAATTTAAAATTCTGACTACCTTAATTAGTTATGTCTGGTCAATCTTAACGTTCAGCTGTAAAATAAAACTGCCACATCTACCTCAGAAACATTGAGGAGACTAATTGAAAACAAACTGATTACTCAGTTACTTAACAAAAACGTCTCAAGATACTACTTCAAATTTCGTAAAATTTCAAATTTTGCACACATAAAATTAGTTGGTTTCATATAGACAATCACCAAATTCATTTCCACAACTAATTTAAGATTAAAATAAATAAAAAATTACTACACACATTCAAGATATATAGTATAACTTTTTAAATGTCATAAAATATATTAACTAGAAATAATAAACGAAAACTAAATAGGTTTACATTGCAGCAAATGGCAAAAAGCTATTTCCTTTAAATTTCAAAAAACATTGGAGCTTCATACATTTAAAATTTTATTTTTATAAATATTTTAACCTTTTTTTTCTCCTTTTTATTAAAAAAAATTTTTTCAACTTACATGTAAATTCAAACCAAACAATACAATTAAAAACAACTTATTAGGAAGATCATGCAACCACAGACTTCAAATGAAATGTTAATAGAACTTTTAATTTAATGATCTAATTATAAAGCACATTCAAAGATAAAAAAAAAAAAAGAGCAATGAAAGTAAATGAAAACATTGATAGGGAGATTAAACATTTAATCTAGTTTGAGAATTTAATATTTTACCTCTTGTAACATGCATTTTAATCCTTCTTAACTATCACAGTGGAACTTTTACGACCCACTAATATTATTTCCATATAGGGTTAAAATTGAACAAAATATCCCATCAAAACTTGTCTGTCTCTCTATAGTGACTTTTCCATGTATCATTACTAGTTAACAACACTTGATTATTTGAGGTTGAATATTACCTATGGAACTAATTAGTTGAAGACAATTCTTTCGAGGATGCTATTTTATAATTTCTCAGCCTTCTACCTTGATCAATTTCGCAAGTAAGCCTTACATATTTTTTTTCTTAATTCTTTCATATTTTCAACTAGTTAAAAAAAAAATATTAGATATTTAACTACCTAAGGTGTTAACCTCACAGAATTATTTCTCTAAATGATCTCAAATGAGGTGACCAGCTAAAAACCATGTGGGGAATCCTCGTCAAGGTTGTTTATGCAAATGGCAAATTATATAGCAAAACACAGGATTTAAATAGGTATTAATTCTGCATGGGAAGCCATTGATTCTCCCATGTTACAGAAGCTTGTAGATGGAATGCCTCATCTACAAGTATTTGCAATTGGGGTCAACAAAGGAGCATTTGTTGGATGTTAACTGCACAGAGGTCATCTTTTTGCAACACATGAAAAGCCTTTTTTGTTGATTTCTGAATAATTAAATGTATTACATCTAAACTTGTGCGAATTTTATGTGCTTTTGACAATACAATTATTTCAAATTAATTGCACCTCTTAGCATTACATACAGATAAATTTTAAAAAAAGTAGATAAAATAAAATAGAGGTGAGGTCAACATTTTGCAACATACCTCAATATAGTAAACCCCAAATTAAAAATTTATGAAAAATTAGAAAATAATAATGAATATTAAAATATTTGTCTAAGTCCAAGGTACATAATTTAACAAGAAAAAAATATTTCGTACATTTTCGATTTTTAATAACTTGGGATATAAGGGTTAGTGGTGATTATATGCTTACTGGCATGCAGTTAATTGAATAACAAATACAAGCTCAAAAATATAGATATTTTACTATTTTCCTGAAACTTTTTTTTTTAAATACAATATTGCTCATAAAAAATAAAAAAAATCGCTTTTTAAAACTCAAATTCATTACTATACTAATTTTAATTTACAGCAAACACAATCATATAACTATGCTAATCATTCACCAATAAAAACCACTCAAGAAAAACAGAATCTTGCCAAAATATTTTTACATCAAAATTACATAATTCTTTGTGCAAAACTATTTAAGATTTAGCAAGTTTAGTTAATAATGAACTACATATATAAAACTATAATTACATGGTGCTTCTTTATTACTCAGCACTTCATGCAACAATACTCTTTTTTATTGTTATGTGTTAGTTACTTAGGATGCTTATATAAAATAATGTAAACCTCTCAACTCTCCACGAAACAGTCATAGATATCTGAATTTTTAATATCACCAATCGCATTTCTCTTTCACTATTTTGAAGCTAAAAAACATTATAACATTGAAGAACATTCATGAACTAAAATTAATAATAACAAAAACATGAGAATCAATATTTATCTATAATGCAAACATCTTATTTCAAAAAATATATTAAATAAATACTTCAAAAATAGGAAATAAAGTTACATAAAAAAGAGAATATATATATATTTGTAAATAAAGAATGTTTCTTTCAGACATTAAAGTTCATCAAAAATTAAGCTATTCATAAATAATAAATTTCTCTAAATATAAATGTAATGAAAAATCATTGAAAGCAATTCATACCTCTTCATATTTTTTATCAGATTCCTCTGCAATTAACCTTGCTTGACCTAGTTGAGTTTCAAGAAGAGATATTCGATCATCTTCCATATTTGTACGATTTTCTAAAGCTTTACGAATGCTGCAAAACAATATTACATTTAAAAAATTAAATACATATATAGATATATATATAAACAAAAATATTTTTTAAGGAAACTGAATTGCATATATAGTAAAAACTTAATAATACAAATATGGTATATTATGATAAATTTGCCCATTACGATAAATTTCCAAATCACTGTCAAAATACAAATACAGGGGTGATTGTGAGCCCAAGTCAAAATTCCGGAAGATTCCTCGAGTTAAAGAAGGAAAAGGAAAAAAAAAAAAGAAATTGAAATATTAGAAAAAAATTTACACAAGGTTTTTTTCCTTTTTCTCAATTTTTCTTAGTTTACTTAAAATATATTTAAAATTTTACACATACCTATGACGACCTGGAAAAGTAATTAAAATTTACAAATATGTCTTTCTTTCTTGAGTTTATGAATATAACAACTATTTACTGATAAAAAATGAACATTTATCATGAATATAAGCTTATAAAGTCTCTCTGGCTCTCCCTTAGAAACAAATAAAATAAACTGCGTTTTTAAGTTCCCCTTTGAAAATTTGATTTACGGAAACTTCTGTAATCATGATTTTTTGAAACGCTTGGACCTTCGATCTCCGGAAACTTCCGGGTCACTGTTAGCGAAAATTCCGGAAATCCGGATTTTTTCTGGAGCACAATCAGTCCTGCAAATATTAAAGGTACAAAAAATTTTATGTTGATAAGGAGTTAAAAATTACTGGCCTTTTGCTATTACAACAAAATTTGGTACCTCTCAATTAGCCAGGCATAAGCGAAAAGTTGCCAAAAAATTTAGACCAATGCCAACTTTTTTTTTAACTTTTTTTTAAACACATAAAAATTAAATAAAATAAAAAATTCTAAAAAAAAAATAGTTGAATTTCATTACGAGTTAGATTACTACACCGAAAAGTACCAATTTTTTTTTTTTTTAATGAAACATTTTTTTGCTGTTTAAGTGAGTAATATTACACAAATAATAGTTTAAATGGAAGACATTCTCAAGAATGTGCTAGCTTGTTGAACCACATATTTAACAGGCTCCCTTATTTCCCCTTTTGACAACTTACTATAAAAATGAATATTCACTATTATCAGTGATGTCAAAAAATATTGCACTTCATTTTCTTCAAGCAATAAATTTTTCCATACATTCCTAACATTAGTTGTTCAAAATAAAATAACAATAGTTTAAAATAAAAAAAAGACAAATTTGACTGCTACATTTTTAATCTTTTTATTGCTTTAACATTAAATATGTGTATTTGCTTAGCTTATAACAATTTAAGCAACTATTATGAATTGGGCTTATAATGGACTTTTACTGTACATTTAAATACTTTTTTCTTATTTTTAACATTATTGGTTGATGAAACAACTTTGATAAATAATTAAATCTAATAAAAGAAATCTTAAGAAATCTACACACCGTTCACTTTCATCAGCAGCCTGTGAAGCTTCTTCTAGTTTAGCAGTGGCAATTTTTAAACGTTCTTCAGAGCGCTCGAGATCTTCTTCGAGCAACTGAATTCGCCTATTCAATGCAGCTACCTCACTTTCAGCCTGCAAAAACAAAGAAAATTGAGTTTAAAATGTAACAATAAGAGAGCTAATAATGGGAAAGACCTAAAAAGGTTGCAAGGATATGTCATCCTTTATTGAGATCAAAAATTGTTTCAAGTGGAAGCTGGGAAGTCTTCCTCGTAAATTCTCTCTCAACTACATAAGTCATTTAAAATTCAAAGATTAGTTCAGATAGGAGAATTTGCCATAAAGGGTTTCTCCTATGGTATAATATTCTCTTAAGAAATTACCAAGTTGGGGCAAGCAGAACAAGTTATTTGAATGGTTGTTCTATCATTGTGAAACATTTTCCAATATTAAGACTGAAATTCAAAGGATTTGTTGGTTAGCTACTTATCAATACAAACAAAAAAAGGGGGGAATCAATGCATGAATTACCCCCAGGATTGTAGGCCTGCATTTACTTTAAGACCAATCCATGGCAGGGTGTAATATTTAAAATAAAGAGCTATAAAACAGAATGTAAAAACGTATCTTAATCATTATAAGAGCTTCTAAAACAGGACAAAAATTCAAGCATCATAATGTCGAGAATTTCATAAGTTTCTATATTGATGAATGATATTATAAATATATAGTTGTTTTAAAAAATCAAATACTTATTTCTCTAATTACCAATAAAAAAAATTTTATTAAGAAAACTATTTTGAAGGGAATTCTTATATTTTACAAAAAATTTAAATACTAAATAAGATTTCCTCTTGACTTTTTCTGTACTGATTATACAGAGTCAAGCTGAAATAATTTAAATTAGAAACGTTTTTTGTGCTAAAAAATAATATCGAAGGTTTACATCCGAGGAATGTAAGCTCTTCATTTGAATCAGTCTAACGTCAAGACACCACAATAGAGACAGCTTCTCCTGGAAATCAATTTGAATAAGAAAAATAGATAAATCCAGTTTTGACTATAAAAAAAACTAGCCACAATTTTTTTTCTCCCCTTCCATTCCTTTAATTTCTACAATCAAGGTCATATTCCATGAAATACTTTCAAAATCGTTTCCGAAGTTTTTATTTCCTTCTAGCGGTGTAGGGATTAAAAATCAAATAATGCATTTCCCATGAATCACAAAATACCTAAGCAGAAGTAAAAAAGCAAAAGTTTAATTCCCATGTTCTGAATTTCATAAATATAAATGAAACAATCAAATGCTAGATTGTTTTAAAATTAATTCCCAAAACAGACACGAGCTGCGTTGAATATCAAGTTAAATTATAAATGCGACGATATTTTTATTCGAGGTCGCAGGATAATTATAAATGGCAGAATAAGTTAACCACGGAAAGCCTAAATAAGTTATAGCGCTATGAAATGGTGGAGAATAAATGAGAGAAAGAAAGAAAAACATTTCGGCCAAAAATAAGATCAGAATAAATATTATTCTGAGTGATAAAAATGGCTGCTAAATCAAATTGAGAATTCCTAAGAAAAACTAATCTATGCAAGACAAAAAAAGAAACAAGAATTAAACGAGCTAATTAATGAATCGCAAAAAAAAAATCTTATTTTGTTTTACAAGCAATGCTTATTATATTTCTAATACTAAAAGTGGATATTAAACCCATATGGTATTTTTAAAGGTTGAATGTTTAAAAGTTAAATTATTTAAATCACAACTTAAGGTGATTTAATTTTATGATTTTGAAACGTTTAACGTAGAATAAATGTATTGTTTAAAACAAAATGCAAAATTTCAAAAAGAAACCTTAACTAATTTTCCTAAGCTATCACCTTCCATTTGATCCAGTTGCAAAAAAAAATAAATAATTAATTAAAATTTGAAAAAAAACGATTTAACTGTAACTTACAAATTTGCTACAGCATTCATGCTGAGGAAGTTCATAAAAGAGAATTGTAAAAAACGCAATAACAAATATCTATTAATAATTTCAACGAATACAAAACAGTTCTTATTAATTTCAACGAATACAAAACAGTTCTTACGACTTAAAATTCCAAAATTTCGTCAAAAATCAATATTATTTGAAGGTTTTCGCCACGAGTAGGCAGAACTCAGAATATTGATGAAAAAAAAGCTCAGTTTACATCTTACAGAATGAGGGTGTGTATGAGGGTACATACGAGGAGTTTCCACTTGCCTAATTTATTTACTCAACTACACTTTCTGGTTTTCTTTTATTTATTTTAATTTTATATTCAAAGCACTTAACTGAATATATATATATATTCATATTCGAAACAAATTTCTCTAAGAATAAATATTAACACCAGTAAATGACAACGCAAAAAATTAAAAAATATTTCTTCATTAAATTATTTTAGTTTATTCAGATAATTATTTATGTTTGTTTTATGAAGTTAATCGGATATTTCAAGAGAGGTATCCAAATTTAATATAAAGTTCGTTAACAGACGTTCGTATAGTGGGTATTAAAGAAAAACATAGGCCAAGTGGCTAGAAGGGGAGAAAAGGAAGAAAAAAAAATGATGAGAGTATCTCAGGAATCAACGACATCTTTATTTCTCGATAAATAGCCACTCGAGCTTGTCATGCCTTTTAAGGTCGTTACAAACAAGTGGACAGACACGAGTCGGTTAATCGAATAGCGGGGGTGGTCATACGAAGTGACGAATCGTTTCGTTTTCTTTTTATTACGCGAAAAAGGCTATATAAATATTAAAAAAAAAATTTTTTTAAAAAACAAGATGCGACAAAATAGAAAGACAATTTATGTTTCAGATGCTTATCTAACACTTTTTATAAGCAGCATCAGTCAGGTATATTTTTCATTCAATAATAACTAATACCCGAAAAACAGAGGCGTAGTAGGGTTTACAGCGCCTGGGGGCATATTTAGTTTTGCGCCCTTTTAAATAAACAATGCTTTTCAGGAGCCTTTTTTTTTAAAGTTTTTAGCTTCTGTAAAAACTAAATCATGCCGAACTTAACTGAATAAGATTGTAAAATTGTGTTTTATATATATATATATATATATTTCTTTAGTTTTAATTAAAAATTTAACTAAGTTCACCTTTTACTAAGTTTCTTTTTTATCACGCTTACAGTTTTTGATAATTGAATGATAAGCGGTTAACTAAATGATGAGTGTTAACTGTACCGTTTTTTTTCCATTCAATATGCCTACTTCGTTAAAAATAACTATTTTGAAAACAAAACAAACAAAAAAAAGGCAATGACAACTACAATAGGCATCCTGCTAAAAATTTAAATAAAATTGGGGGGGGGGGAATTGAAGTTTTAATGTCCGTTAATTTGTAAATAAAACAGGTGGTTTTTAAAAGAGTAAATCAATGTGTTCTAGAACTCATTCCAAATTATGTTTACATTGCGCCGGGGTAGACGTTTCTTATTGCACCTTCTAGCTACGCCACTCCCAAAAAAACATTTCTGCGAAAACAAGAACGTTAAATTCAGTTTAAGAAAGCAAGAACGATAAATCAACCCAAGAAAGATAAATAAAATGAGTGTAGCTCAGAGCTTACCTAACCCTTTTTAGCCAACAGACAGAATTATTTAGATGCTTTTATTTTGGAATTAATAAATTTCGTAAGCCCATTCCTAATTAGGCAGTGGAAAAGGATATAACGAAAATAAATATTCGGTAGGTAGTTAGTTAACATACTCAACTTTCTTTACAAAATGAAGAAGACAAAAATTTCAATTCAACTGCACTGAAACACAAAACACGCGTTTGAACGATAAAACTTATACACTAGAGATAAATAATAAAATTTTCATTATTTTATTACATTTTATTGAACCCTTTTGTTTACTTTAAAAAACTGACATACACTTTACCCTTGATTGGAAAGACTAAAGAGTGGAAGATACTAAAATCTTTTACACTTGTGCGAGTTTAAAAAATAAAAAATTTAAAAAAGGCGAAAAGAAGCTAAGTTATATTACGATCATACACAAAATGGACTTAATGTTCTAATGTTTATAAATCATGCTTAGAAAATATCTAGCAATAGTGAGGTCAACTTTTCTAGCTACCATATGAGCCACATATTAAAAAAATATAATTCTTGTGGCATTTCAGTATCTAACACAGAATACTTATCAATAACAGGTTAAAAATAAATGTACTTTTTTTTCTCAATTCAATTTTAAACAAAATATGTAAAATGCATTACAAATCAAATCTTATTTTAAAAAATTCATAAACAAAAACAGACCCAAAAAAAGTGACTGACTAAATGAAAAGATAAGACAACCAGAGTTAAAATATTCCAGCGGCATTCATTCTCAATGAAACCTGTTCCTAAGAGATGCGGCCGGCACGTTCAAATCACTTTTTTTTTTTTATTATTTTGTTACTCAGGGCCGGTGCAGTGCATCGTCCGATCGTGCAAAATAAAATATCATGTGTTTGTGGGACATCTTGCTACAAAGGCTTTTTCTTCAGAACTTGCTGAAGGACGTTCTCCTACGGTTCGTTTAATCCTCTTTCGTTCCAAGCAATAGCAGAGAAAGTTTTCAATTAGTAGAGGCACTGGATTTTAATCACATATCAATACGGATGCAGATCATCACAATAAATATTTTTAAACCAAGTGTTTCACCAAATTATTGCATAAATACGTGTAATGAAAGCAAACTCGCAGGATTCGAAAATTTCTGTTTCTCCTTAACACTAGTTTGCCCAAGGAAGTCATTTTGACTGCTTTTTAATTTCAATTAAAAAAAACAATGACGTATATAATGGCACTATTTTTCAGAATTTTGTGACTCTTTGTACAACATATAATTTTTTTTTATTGTTAATATTTACTAATAACTTTTTATATAACTGTAAATAATATTAAAAATTAATTTTAAACAAATTTCTTTACACATCAGTTATTTGTTCAAAATCCAGTCATTTTGACTGCTTTTGGACATTATATGTGTATACTAAGTTTCAGTCTTTCTAGTGTTAAGTTGGATATCAAAATTCACCAAATCAAACATTAAAAGTCGAATATTTGCTCTATGTGGATTGACAGTACAG